AAATTTGCAATGCAATTTAAGTCTTGAAGCTTTCAAAAAACGTGAAATGGAATTCTGAATTCAATAAAATGAACACCCAATATGTAAAACACAAATTACAGTAAAAAGCGTATTCCTCTTTCTTTCTCATATCTAAAATTTGAGCAATATTCTCTTATCCTACTAGCTCTAGGTCGCCTGACACACATTTTCAAACACCCGAAACAATCACACATAAGTTTCATCATATCTTTAATTGCTATTCTAGAGCATACACATACACATTTCCTTTCAAAACTCTTGTGTGTGTGAAATGACCATGTAATTTAAACATTCACTCAACAGAATCCCATTCACTCGGCTATTCAAATTTAGCTTTGATGCGATTCTCACTGAGGGCTTCTTTCAAAAAATAAGTATCTCATGATTATACTAGCATGCTCTCTATGTGTATACGTGAGATGGAATCTTGTGCACAGACTGAAATGCTCACATATAATCCAAAAATGATGTGTATGCATAACAATTAAAACGACCTTGGCATAATATCATGAATGGAATGTTAGGACACTAGATATGAAAACCAACTTTTATGTTCATTTAAAGTGTGCTCTCATCATGCTTTATCTAGATCATTTAGGGCTTTCATGGGTTGTAATGAGGGCTTGGGATGATATTTAGGGTAAGTGAAATGAAGGGTAGAGGGAGACAAAAACTTTTATTCCGAGGGCATGACCTTTATTATCAAAAATCTCATTTTTGTGGAATTTTCAACTTTACATCTTCACGTAAACTTTTTGTCTCTTTTTTTTTTCTTTTCATTTCTTTTCTTGTTCAACTCCCTTTTCTCATTTTTCTTGGATTCTTCTCTTCTTTGTCATTCAATTCCATTCATCTCTTTTTTGGGTTTTCTCACCACATTTTCCTTTCTTCATGATTAATCACAGTCAATCTCAAAACAACCAATGTGTGGTAATTGTAATCATTTTGCACTGTCTTGGTAAAGCATGTAGCGTGGAAAGGAGTTTTCACTTAAGGCTCAATCATGACACTAGTGATAAATTTTTTACAAGAAAAAGTTGTGGCTCAGCACAATTCAAAGGTGGTATAAAATCATCTCTAGATAAGCATGAGGAGGCATATTGGTATTTTAAAACAAATTCAATCAACTATCCATATGCACTCTAACCAAAACAAGCATAATGAGAGTATTGAACAGATTTTGAATTTAAAAAATTGTTCCTTTCAGAAAATGTAAGTTCCCTCCGACAAGGATTGACACTAAAGCTCACATGGGTACTTACTTAATCTCCACTATGTATGTCAAGCTCTAAAATGTGGATTCAATCAGTAAATTGCCGAATTAACACATTCAATGTGCACTATGGATGAGTTCGAATGAAAACACATATGTGCTACTTAGGCATAAGATAAACTTATATGATGTGCTCATATATTCAAAGTTCAAAGTGAAGATCTAGTTGTTACTGACCCCATAATAATTTGAATAGGGGAATATGATTCAACATTCAGATATTTTTCACATATTTCTAACCATTCTATACAAAAATTGGTAGAATATATAGAATATGTGAATGATGCATTTCACTACAAAATGGTATTATCAACAAAAATTGGTGTATCATGCAAATGGCGCACCTTACCCCCTAACTTGAACTATGCATTGTCCTCAATGTGAAGATATGCAATGAGATAGATATGCAATGAGATAATGAAATTTAAAAGACAAGAAGGGTAAGGGAACACCTTGCAATGAGCTCTAACAAAAATACAACTATCTGCACACATGAAGAAAGAACACTATGTACTGATGAAAATAAGTAACGATTTAACTTGTAAAGAACAAATGAAAACAACTTTACACTAATAGATACTTGAACAATTATGTCTCAACAAGATCCGGATAGACCGGATCCGCCAACTCCTCCTCCACTCTTTGACTTTCAAAACCCTCGAAGAATGGTTTAAGACTTTAGCCATTGGCCTTGAATGTTTTCTCATCTTCGGGTTTTTCTATGTACATGGCTCAGTTTGGGTAGGGCACCTTGACAATATAGGGGCCATCCCAATTCGATCAAAGTTTTTCTTAGAAAATGGAGAGGTGAGAATTATACAAGAGCATTTTTTGGCCGAGCTCGAATGTCTTTCTCAAGATGGATTTGTCATGGAAAATTTTGGCCCTTTCTTTGTGAATTCTAGAGCTCTCATATGCATCTCTACAAATTTCCTCAAATTCATTTAACTCCAACTTCCTAGCTAGTCTTAGGTTGAAATTCAAAGTTTTTATGGCCCAGTATGCCTTATGCTCCATCTCCATCGGTAAGTGACAAGTCTTGCCATAGACTAGCCTTAGAGAGACATACTAAGAATGGTTTTATAAGCAGTGCGGTAAGCCCACAAGGCATCGATCAACTTGAGTAACCAATCCTTTCGATTCGGGTTAAGCATTTTTTCAAGTATACTCTTTATCTCCTTATAGGCCAACTCGGCTTGGCCATTAGTTTGTGGGTGATAAGTGACAGATACCTTGTGTGTTAGACCATATTTATGCATCCAAAAAGTAAATGGTCTATTACAAAAATGTGAGCCACCATCACTTATGATTGCACGAGGTATCCCAAACCTAGAAAAGATGTTTGTTTTTTAAACTTGACCACGACTCGATGGTCATGGGTCTTGGTCAGGATTACCTCTACCCACTTGGACACGTAGTCCACTATCAAAAAGATATAAAGGTAGCCAAAAGACATAGGAAATGGACCCATAAAATCGATGTCCCAACAATCTAAAATTTCAATTACAAGCATGGGGGAGAGGGGCAACATGTTTCTATGGTTCACATTTCCCAACCTTTGACACCTATCACATTGCTTACAAAATGAGACACAATCTTTAATCAGTGTGGACCAATAAAAACGACTTTGTAAAATCTTAGCTGAAATTTTCTTGGAAGAGAAGTGCCCTCCTCGTGACTTGATTAGAGCAATATTTGAATAGGTACGAGTTGTCGAAATAGAAGTACTTCACATGCTCCATGAATCTTCTCTTATCCTCCAGGCTCCAATGTGGGGGTATTTGTCATGTGATAAGAAAATTACAAATGTCAGCATACCACAGACAAACTGAATGGATAGAAAATAGATGCTCATCAGGGAAAAAATCAAGGATACGGATGTGATCTTCGGCGTCTTAGACAACAAGCCGTGACAAATGGTCCGCCACCACATTCTTAACTCTCTTTTTGTCATTGATGATTAGGTTGAATTCTTAAAGGAGGAGAATCCACATAATGAGTCTCGGTTTAGCATCCTACTTAGACAACAAATATTTCAAAGCAAAGTGATCAGTGCATACTACAATAGGTGAACCAATGATGTTTGACCTAAATTTATTCAATGCAAACACTATAACTAGCAACTCTTTTTTAGTAAAAAAATTATTTTTTTACGGTGGTATCGTTGGTATCGTAAATACATTTATTTAACGTAAGTAAAAAAAAATTGATACATTTTGTGATAGTATATTAACTGCCACAAAAAAATCTACTAGTTTTTACGACAGTCAAAAAGTATTGAGATAGCACTTTTATCACCGTTATAAAAGTTGAAGTGTCGATGTTTTTGCGATAGGGTATTGCAGAGTTATTTACCAAACTACCGTCCTTTTTAAACAAATATATTAGAAAAACAACATTTTTTAATTTATTTACAAAATTAAGACACTTTTTAAAAACATAGTCAACAATTTCGCTATTATTGAAAAATAGAGTCAATAATTCCGCTTTTGTTAAAAATGGGGTTGGTAACCGTGCTTTTAAATTAAAAAGGGGGTCCCAAACAATAAGCTTAACATGTGAAAAGCGTGGTTACTAACCACGATGTTCACGTGCTTGGAGTTTCTTCACAAACCTTCCATCAGATGAGTTTCTTCACAAACCTTCCATCACAAATCTCTCACTCCCAAACCTACCCGAGAACAATTACCCTCTTAAGACCCATTAAACCCACATTTTTCACTCTTCCTAAGCTGTCAAACTCAAACCCACCTTCCATCAGGTGTGTTCATGGAAAATCTGAGCACCAATCTGTCTCTCCAGAATTTCAGTGTGTTCATGGAACGCTAATTGTAAAAGCAGGGATTCAAACCCAGAATTTCTAGCTAATTGTAACTACAAGAAGGTCCTCAACTACGAGATCCGATCATCACAATCACAATTGGACAGTTCTGATCTTTTGGAATCTTATTGGGTCATTGACAAACAAGAATGAAAGAACCGAAATTTGCCCAGCAACAGTGCTTTTCAAGTCTATCAAGCATTTACAGAAATAGTTCAAAAGAAAAACCCACAAAGACCTATTACTCTCCAAGAAGCTACGGTAACTCCTCTTTTGGTATAGCCAACAACACCACCAGGAGCTCCGCCTTCTACGGTGGCTCAACCGGCGGTTTTAGTTAAGTGAGAATGCAGTAAGTTATTGAGAGTTCATGGCTTCGGTTAGACCCATAGAGGAGAGGTAGATGGGAATGCGTCCAATTAAATAGCAAAGTTGGCTTACAGATTCCATGGTTGTTGACATTTTTGTATGAAAAACGTGTGTATTAAACATATTTTTCTGTAAACACGTTTTTCAAAAAAATCTTAAACATTGTCTTTACTAAATAAGCTTTTAATCTGTTACTTATTTTTTTTAATAAAAGAATTGGGGTTGTTGAATTCGTTTTTTATCAAAAGCAGGATTGTTGAATATATTTTTTTATCAAAAGCGAGGTTGGTGATTTTATTTTTAAAAAATGTCATAGTTTAATAAATAAATTCAAAATTATGGTATTTTAGTATATATATTTTAAAGGAACGATATTTTGATAAATAATTCGGGTATTGTACAAGGTCACTGTACACTTCGTGTCTACCCCCATTGCCCAAAGCTACTACAGCTCCATTCAAACAAATACGTCAAATTCAAACAAAAAACAGAATAAAGGTGTTGATTTCTTATCCTCTCTCTCCTCTAAATTTTTGGTGCGAGACAAATGAATGGAGATTTGGCAATGGATCTGCGGCTTATTTATAATATCACCAGTCATGATTTGGTCTTGAAATTGGAAAACCTCTTTTAATCCATGGATGCAAATCATTTGCAACTTAAACTTACATGAATTATGAGGTATATGGAAGAAAGTAAAGGACGAGAGGAGTTGAATTATGCCGATCGGGCTAGAGCGTTTTTATCAAAAATCAGGGAAAGCTTACTCGATTATTGTTTTTTTTATCAGTGAAAAGACAACTTGAGATGAACGACTACACCCACTTACAAACCCTTTTGATCCATATTGATACCCTCAATGTCTGTTGATGAAGTTCATGATCTCTTTGATTAGATGATCAACCTGATCGGCTGTCTTCGGATCAACGTCAATGGCAAGTTTGTTCAAGTAGTAGCTATGACCCATTTCTGGTTCAAACAAAACTTCCACTTCTTTCCCTGCCTTTTTCATGGCTTCAACGTACTCCAATTCAGTATCACGAAGCAGGTCATTCTCCGCTACAACAACCAGCATCGGCGGCAGCTTAAGCCCTGCCAGTGGCGGTGCCAGTGGACCCATTGGGCAAGTAATTGGATGGTCTTTAGTGCTCCCGAGAGGCAATGCCAAGGCTATGAACTTATTCACCATATCACGAGTTAGCATTGGTGAATCGGGTATATCCGAAAACGACTGACTCGCCTCAGCTCGAATAAATCCTGGATGTATGGCAACACCACCGGCCAACCGCACTGGATTTGTCTCAATAAATGCGCCGGCCCGTGCAGCAACTTGGTGCACAAGATTCCCACCAGTACTGTCCCCAACAAGGAAGACATGTCCAAAATCGACATAACTTTCAAGCCAGGGCTCAGATAACTCACCTCGAGCGACAGCACACAGCCATAGATAAGCCGAGTAAGCGTCTTCGCAAGCTGATGGAAGCCGATACTCAGGAGCGAGACGCAGGTAGACTGAAACACAAACAGCTCTAACCGAGCGCACCAGCCGTGTGTAGAAGTGGTAGTAAAGGTACCAATCAGCTTGGCTAATGCAAAAGCCACCACCATGGAAATGAAGAATAAGGGGTAGCTTATCCTTATCTGGAATATCAGGACTTTTTTCTGGGATGTAAATCCGGACCCGCAGTCCGGATGTTAAATCGATTGGCACATCACGTGTGGCGACCCCATCGATAAATTCTTCATGGGGAGGGACTGTTTCCATCAAGAACTTCACTTCTGGTGGTCCAGTCCATGTGCGGTTGACCTTGCCATCGTCAAAAACAGTCAGCCACCCAGAAACCTCCTTCACAACCTGCTTATTGGAAGCCATGATTAGAATTGTATAACACTGGCTTCTTTCCTTGCAGTTGGATCTGGATGGCTTACTGAAATTGAGAGGCCATGAAGTCTGCCATAAATAATAATTGAGTACAGGGCCGGCCCAGCTGTATTAAAAAACAATGTGGGTTTTAGGCCAAATTTTTAGAAAATTCATAATTTTAGTTACATAATTAATCCATATAAAAATTTTAAATTAATGAAAATCTTATGCCTTACAAAAAGGGCCAAAAAAAATTTAAACTCAATTAAAAAATTATAATTTCAACAATTTGGAGGTACAATGCAATCCATAACATTAAAAATTTTAAAAACAAATAAAAAAATTTAAAAATCAACTAATATTTAATGACATCCATTCTCTCTCTCTCACAAAAAAAAAACAAAGTATTACATCTTGCTCTCTCACTTAAAAAAAATTAAAAATATTTTTTAGTCTTTTAAAAATAATACTAAAAATAAAAATTCCTCATTTAGTATTATTGCTTTAAACCTCAAATTACTTTCGACCGCCCGTGCTTGAGTAAAGAAAGTAATGATGTCTTTGGAAAGTTGGAACCCCGCAAATGCTTTCCTACACCACTATGTCTTTGACTAAGGCAAGATGTGAATCATGCTATTGCTCTACCAAAAAGCAGAGGAGGCGAGGGTGTGATTGAGAAAAGAAGAAAAAAAGACAGAAAAGGTGATTAGTTAGTGGATGAGAAAAGCAGTTTTCACATTATAGTTGTTGAAACTTTATTTATTATTTGATTGAATAATTAATTTAGTTTGAATAGTTATCACTATTAGGAAAATGTTGTGAAAATAAGAAAATTATATAGACTACAAAGAGAATATATATATGCTAATAATGACATCTTTTTATAGGCTTCAAATCATAATGGTCATGAGTATAAAAAAACCAGAAATTTCAGAAATATCTCAAAGTGCATAAGGGTTCTAGTTTTAAGAAGAATAACATTTCCAACAAGAAGAATGACTTATGTTTTCATTGTGGAAAGAAAGACCATTATAATCATGAATGCAGATATAGTCAAAATGATGAGAAGGGCGGTTCAAATTCTAAAAATACTACAAACATGGTGGAAGAAGAGATCAATGATCTCTTTGTGTTGAATGTGAAAATTGGTATGATTATCAAAGTACACATGGCAACATACAACAAATCTGTTGATTGGTGGCTTGACTCTGGGGGCTGCAGTCCACGTTTGCCATGACAAAGACCAATTCCAAACTTATGAAAGTGTTGTAGATCAACAAGTGCTTATGATAAAATTACAACCCTGGGAAAGTGCTTCAAAAAGGGACTGTTGAACTTCAGTTCACTTTTAGAAAGAAACGGACTTCGGTCAATGTTTTGCATGTTCCAGAATTTATGAAAAATCATATAGCTATTAGTTAGTTATGTAAGAAAGGCTTTAAGGCCATTCTAGAGTTTGATAAGATGATTCTTTCTAAGAGTGAGATTTTTGTTGGAAATTGTTATTCAAGAGATGGGAAGTTTGAACTCAGTCTTCATAACATTAATAAAAAGTCTCAACATTTTGCTTATATTGTTGATTCTTCTTCTATATGTCATGTTTGATTAGCACATTTAAATTATGTGTGTGAGCATCGATATGTTTCATATAAGCATAAAGAAAATGATAAATGTGAAATATGCATTCAAGCCAAAATTACAAAGAAGCCTTTTCCAAAAGTTGAAATAAATACACAAATATTAGAATGTGAATTAAATAGAGTTTTAACAAGAGGTGGTAAACGGTATTTTATAACGTTTATAGATGACTATTTGAGATATACGTATGTGTACTTAATGTGAACCAATGATGAAGCATTTAGTTTCTTTAAATGTTATAAAGTGGAAGTAGAAAATCAAAAGAAAAAGAAAATAAAGATTATTCACAGTAATAGGGGTGGAGAATACTTTCCTAATGAATTTTCTGCATATTGTGAAAAACATGATATTATACACCAAACATCAGTACGTATACACCTCAATAAAATGGTTTGGCTGATAGGAAAAATAGGACATTAGTTAACATGATTAATGCAATGATTTTATCTGTAAAATTATCTTTAAATTTGTAAAGTGAAGCATTACTTGCTGCATGTCATCTATAATAATAAGATAGAGTTCATTTCAAACTTCCCAAATTGAAATCACCTCTCCTAATTTAGAAAAAAAAAAGAAGAATGAGTAGGATTGTGACACCCATACAACCGAAGGTCCTTCATTAACTGTTAACCACTCGTCAACTTGCGGAAGTACTCGTGACTGTTGCATCACCTAACATCACATCAGCACCAACCCCTTAACCGAGATTGTACCCACACATTCGTGGTCTTTTACAAAATAATTGATTGTCACTTAGAACAACTTTGATGGAAAGAAAATAGTGCCCAAGAGCTTAGAAAAATATTTCAAAATTTGAAGTTTTGAGAAAAATCTACTAGTAGAAGTAAGCACAAACCTACCGGTAAAATGGCTACTGGAATTTTCCTACCACATAACTACCAATGTTCTATCAGTAGGTTTTGCCTACTAGAACAAATCTACCGGTAGTTTTGCTCAAAACCTACCAGTAGGTTTTGCCCCTGTTTCACCTGTTTTGATTTTTAATTACTTTCAATCCATCCCACAACCATTAAATAGATGTCTAATGAAGTTCTTCCCATAAAACATGTTTCATATGAGTTCAACTACAAACATTTCATGTATTTACATGTCAAAAATCAGATTTTCATAAAAGTTTTACAAAAACATGATTTAAAAGACACATGTCAGCTTCTTTTTCATCCTTGAGACTAGAAATGTGCACCGTCCCTCGATGTGAATCCTGCACCTTAAATGTTTTCCCATAAAAGGTGAGTCACGCTCAATAGAGTATCTCCTAAAGAGGTTACTTCCCAACCTAGATGCATATGAAATGTTCACATGCAACAATTCAACAATCCTCAACATCCCAAGCAAGAATATGCATTCAATGTTGGAATTTACAACGCTATGCCATGAAATAAGGTGAGACTCACTCATGCACATCAACCCGAGCCCTTACCAGCTCCTATAACACATATTGTGCCAATATATATAAATCCGTCATTTATGTGACTCATCAAATGACATTTATAAATCCAGAGTCTTTCTTGCGGTGGGTATTCATGAACTTACACCAAAGGTCACCCAACCCACAAGGAATTCATGGACTTCCACCAAGGGTTCTGCGTACACCTACACACTTTATAGATTGAACCAAGGGAGTGCGTATCCCAAACACAGGGCCTTGCACCCGAGAGATCTTTAAACCCTTTTTGCTAATCTCGACCCAATTATTAACACAACCCATGCGACTTAGTCGAGACTCGACCCAACTATCCCGAGCCCATCTATCATTCACCAAGAGTGGTATTTGATCACTTCATACACTCACACCCACTTAATGTGATGTCTCCGTGCACATGCAATGTAATGTACCATTGCCACATTTATTGGCATGTTCAATATGTAATGGATGCCATATGATCAATTTCAACATAAATCAACATATCCCATGACAAATTATATCACAAGCATATAATTCCCATAATTCTTCACACTGTCAATATATCAATAAACACATATCAACATTTTACCTAGCAACAACACCCAATCATGTTATCACAAAATCAAGCAATAAACACCCTTTATTCTCAAGGCATAACGTAAAATACATAACATGCCCAAATGCCACAATCTTTCTAGGAATCATAACCTAGCAATTTTTGATAATCCATTCAATCCAGAATTGATTTTTACCCAATTTCAATACCCATTTCGTCAATTTTACAACAATAGGCAAGTGTTAAAAATCTCAAACAACTTACCCATTTTATATAATCACCCTAGGTTGAAAATAAACCTAATTAGGGAGAAAACCCTACCTTTTAAAGCGTAAAATTAATGTAGAAAGCCTTCAAGAACACCAATGAAGCCTTAGCCTTGATTTCTCTCAAATCCAATTTTTGGATCTTTTGTGAAACCCTTAATTTTTTGGTGTGGTCGCGTAGCCCTTGATGAGAGGAACAACTTTCCCTCTTGGCTCGAGTTGAGTTGAGCAACCAATCTTTGTAGATTGCAGAGAGAAGGTGGAGTTTCTCTATTTTCTCCCTCTCTTCTCTTCCAACGTGAGACCTAGTAGACTTGTGGGGAAGAAATTTGACTTTTTCCCCCTTTTTATACCCCCTAAATTCTTGGTTCTCATTGCGCCACACATCCTCCACTCTCGAGTCCAGTTTTGACTCGAAACGATTTAAATTTCATCATGATTTAAGTTCAAAATATTTTTATTTCAACTTGTTTTAAATTATTTTCTAAGTTTTGAAATTTTATTCTCTGGTCCATTTATGTGGTCACTCGACACTCGATTACTTCGTAAAACGCAAAAAAATTTGACTGTCTCAAAATTTGACGAAAATTGACCGGGGAGCTAGATTTCGCGAGATGAATCCAATGGTGAGGTCCATTTCATCATTCGAGTTCTAGAAAAATTTGGGTTTTTAACCCATACTGTTGTGTCAAATTACCAATTTGCTCATTTTTCCTAAAAAATTCAAATTTACCTGGGTTTTATAAGGATTTAATTTATTCAATTCAAATCTCATCTAAACTTATCTAATTAAATCTAATGGTTCACAATCTATTCCACCAAAAACCCAAATCCCACCCACTATACCTACACACATGCGCCACCCAACTTAAAACTCATTTTCTCTCTCTCTCTCTCTCTCTCTCCTTTCTTGCTCCTCAGCCATGGATGACATCCACACCCAGGTACCTCTCTCTCTCGACTTTCATACTCACACACATAGAATGCTTTCTCCCTCCCTCTCTCGACTTTCACACATGTAAACACAACACACACACACACACACATATAATGCTCTCTTCATCCCTTCCTCTCCCTTTCTCTCACGCTTCTCTATTGGGAAGATGATTAGGTACCCTTCCTTTCTCTCTTCACACCAGCCATACACAAATATACACACTAGCACACACACATGTGCATGCAATCGAACACACTGCGCACACACACACACATACATACACACTCTAGCGCGCACACAAAA